GCTAACTGTGTGCTAAGTGTGAGCTCACTGTGTGCTGTGATCTCACTGTGTGCTCACTGTAATCTCACTGTATGCTAACTTTGAGCTAACTGTGTGCTAACTGTGTGCTAAGTGTGAGCTCACTGTGTGCTGTGATCTCACTGTGTGCTCACTGTAATCTCACTGTATGCTAACTCTGAGCTAACTGTGTGCTAACTGTGTGCTAAGTGTGATCTCACTGTGAGCTAACTGTGTGCTAAGTGTGAGCTCACTGTGTGCTAAGTGTGTGCTAAGTGTGAGCTCACTGTGTGCTGTGATCTCACTGTGTGCTCACTGTAATCTCACTCTGTGCTAACTGTGTGCTAAGTGTGAGCTCACTGTGAGCTAAGTGTGTGCTAAGTGTTAGCTCACTGTGTGCTGTGATCTCACTGTGTGCTCACTGTAATCTCACTGTATGCTAACTCTGAGCTAACTGTGTGCTAACTGTGTGCTAAATGTGATCTCACTGTGAGCTAACTGTGAGCTCACTCTGCTGTGCCATGCAGCGTGTGGGGCATATATGTGCATGTCACGTGAGATGTTATATGATGTGTCTGTATCTGATGTTGTGTGCTCCTTTGTGTTAATTGTGGATTGTGTATTTTGTTGTTTCATGTTTTATGTTGGAGGACTACAGATGGAAATTAGCTTTAGCTAAATCTGGTGCAAACATCTTTTTGTTTTGTAAACAACTAATGTACGTGCATGCTGTCCTTTTTATACTAAATAAACTAAAACTAAACTAAACTGTGTCCTTTATGATGTCATAGACACAGCCAATAGATGGCACTGGAGAGTCAAAAGTTTGCCACAACAACAAGGCGAGGGTGGAGGAGGTCGTACTAATGTTCCTTTAAAGAGAGGCAGTGGTGCAGACGGCGGCGGTCATTAAACACATCCTGTCATGTGGACGGAGAGTCTTTGTGTTCATCGTTATTTAAATGTCTTGATGTTTCCAACATTTAAAGAGACGGATCTACTTTGATACGTAAAGAGAGAATCAATGAGATTACAGCTGACACACCTGATATTAAATCGTGCGGAGCATTCTGACCTAAAATAAAATGGGTTAGAACCCAAACAGTTGGTGTAAACACAGCCGGCTCATGAACCAGCACCGAGGTTCTGAGAGTCCTGAACAGACCTGGTCCAAGAACCAGAGCTACTGTGGTGGACCAGTGAGGTCATTAGACTGAAGAGGTTCAGACGGTGGTTTGATGTGACAGGTGGAACTCTACAGACGGACCCTCTGTTCCTGATGTGGACTTTAAAGAGGAGCTCTGGTCCAGATGTGAGTGGAACCTGCTCCACATGTTGATGCTAAGCTAACAGTTTGTAGCTAAGTGTTGCTCAGAGGGACCTTTGTCTCTTCACAGTGGACCGTCCAACAGTGTTTGGTTCTCCATGTAGGAAACAACATGTGTGTGTCCACCCTGAACCCCTCAGAGACACTGAGACATGTGGAGGAGTCCTGGACCACATCAGACTCTGTGACAGCACGTCACCAACTCTCCAACAGGAAGTACATTTAAACTACAACTCTTATTGATTTCACCTCCTGTTAATGATCACACATCTTTATTTAAATGATCTTCATTCATTCTAACGATCTTATCGACCAGTCAGATCTAAAATGGAGACGATGAAACTGTGGCAACATTTTTTATCTCCACAGCAACCACCTGAATTAAAGACTTTTATTTTGAAAAACTCAACATTAAACAAACCTTAAAATGTGACCATCCAACAAAACACTTTATTCTGAAAAGACTCCATAAATACAGTATTGATTATTGATCGTATCGTCTGTGTGTTAAAGTCTGTGTCAGCAGCAGCCTGTCTCTACCTGGACACTGATGATGTCACATGATCTCTGCACTCTGATTGGCTGTTCAGTGTTTTAGAGTTCAGCTGCTGCTGGAGTTTCTGTCAGTCGTCCTCAGAGTGAGACACAGACTCAGACAGGTCCAGGTCTACAGAGACTCAGACAGGTCCAGGTCTACAGAGAGACTCAGACAGGTTCAGGTCTACAGAGACTCAGACAGGTCCAGGTCTACAGAGAGACTCAGACAGGTTCAGGTCTACAGAGACTCAGACAGGTCCAGGTCTACAGAGAGACTCAGACAGGTTCAGGTCTACAGAGAGACTCAGACAGGTTCAGGTCTACAGAGACTCAGACAGGTTCAGGTCTACAGAGACTCAGACAGGTCCAGGTCTACAGAGAGACTCAGACAGGTTCAGGTCTACAGAGACTCAGACAGGTCCAGGTCTACAGAGAGACTCAGACAGGTTCAGGTCTACAGAGACTCAGACAGGTCCAGGTCTACAGAGAGACTCAGACAGGTTCAGGTCTACAGAGACTCAGACAGGTCCAGGTCTACAGAGAGACTCAGACAGGTTCAGGTCTACAGAGACTCAGACAGGTCCAGGTCTACAGAGAGACTCAGACAGGTCCAGGTCTACAGAGAGACTCAGACAGGTTCAGGTCTACAGAGACTCAGACAGGTTCAGGTCTACAGAGAGACTCAGACAGGTTCAGGTCTACAGAGACTCAGACAGCTTCAGGTCTACAGAGACTCAGACAGGTTCAGGTCTACAGAGACTCAGACAGGTTCAGGTCTACAGAGAGACTCAGACAGGTTCAGGTCTACAGAGACTCAGACAGGTTCAGGTCTACAGAGAGCTGATGAAGATGATGAAGATGATGAAGATGATGGTGGTCCTGGTCCTCTCCTGTGTCCTCTGTGTCTCAGCTGACGGTAAGTTTCTGTCCTTTAGTTTCACATTTAAACCTCTGAAGGTTCAAACACAGGAAACACACTGTTTGTTTACTGACTCAACAACAAACAAACAAACAAACAAACAGTCAGTGTGAACCCTGTGTCTCTGTTTTCAGGTCTACATGAGGACATTGCTATCACTGGCTGTTCAGACTCTGATGGAGAGGAGATGTACACTCTGGATGGTGAGGAGATATGGTACGCAGACTTCATCAACAAGAAGGGGGTGGAGCCTCAGCCCAGCTTCATTGATCATATCAGCCTTGAGGAAGGAACTTATGAGACTGCTGAGGCTAATCAACAGATCTGCAGACAGAACCTGAAAGTGGATCTCCAGGCCTATAAGAACCCTCCTCTGCAGCTCGGTAAGAGAAATATTAAATGTATATATTCTGTCACTTTGACTCACTTTTGCTTGTAGATATTTGTTTTGATGATAAACAGTGTTAAATGTTCTCATTGCTTAAATAATATTTCACTTTAAAAGAAAAAAAAAGTTATTTGTAGGTCAATGGATCAGGGCCTCTCTTAGTCCGGCCTAAGGTTCACGTGTGGACCCTGCTGTTACCTCATGTTCTGAGTACAGTACATCATAAAGTGTGATGTTGTAAATTAATTTCACATTAGTCAGTACAGAGTCAGAGATGTTGAGTGTGCTGTGCAGTCGCAGGTCATTCTCAGCGACCCTGCTGAATGTGGTTTTAATGTGGCTTCTTTCCTTGTCGTTGATGTCACAGTCACGTTATCTATTACAAAGTAATGTGTTTTATTGCTGCATTAACGTTACACCAGAGATCACAGATAGAGAATGTGTCTCATTTTCTCTCGCTCATCATTTCTGCAGCTAGTGTAATCAGTCATTGTAGTTGTAAGAGTATGTGAGTCAGAATGACCTGATGTATGTGATGGAGTGATGTGTTGTTCACTATCGCTAACAAAGTCAGAAATGAGAAGGTGGTGCCAGTGTGTGTGGCCTGCCGTCTGTCTCTGCCAGTGTTGTGTGTGTTTGTGCTGTTTATGTCACTTGTTAGTTTACATGTCAACTCGCTACTGGTGTATGATCGCCAAACACTGCTGAATATTCAACTTTCTGCCAAAGATCTGGTGAGGTTTGATCATGGTCAACAGAAAACTTTGCCCCCGCTCCTATCGAGGACCCCAGCTCACCTCTGCCGCGCCCCAGCTCCACCTCTCCGGCGTAAGCGCCACCGCCGCCGGGGTAAACGCAGCATCACTATCATCCTCGTTCACCAGCTTGAGTTTATTTGAGCTGGGTCGCCCTCACACAGCATTGTGTGCAGTAGTTTATCGATCTCCAAAATACAATAAGGACTTCATAAGTGAGTTTTCTGACTTCCTGGCTGAAATTATGCCCAAATATGACCGTGTCCTTATTGTTGGGGATTTTAATGTTCATGTATGTTGTCCTGATAAGCCAATGGTGGACTTTCTTAACCTCATTGACTCTTTTAATCTTGTGCAGTCTGTGTCTGGTCCCACACAAGAACGCGGACACACACTTGATCTCGTTTTATCACATGGTTTGCCTGTTTTTAACCTAGAGATCTGTGACGCAGTGTTCTCGGACCATATGCTTGTATTGTTTGATGTTGTTCTTACCTGTAACACAGTTAAACCTCACGCTGCTGCTCGGTGCTGTCGCATCATTAACCCTTCCACTGCTGTTCAGTTCTTGGCTGTTGTCATTCCTGAGTCTGTGTGTAACGACACAGAGGAACTTAGCTCATGGTTTCACTCCACCTGCAAAACTGTTTTAGACACTGTGGCTCCATTAAAAACCAGGCAGCCTAAAACTAAATCTGAACCCTGGCTAAATGACACGACTCATGCTGTCAGATGCGAGTGCCGTAGAGCTGAGCGCAAGTGGAAAAAAGACAAACTGCATGTGTCTTTACAAATGCGTATTCGTGTTCTGTTTAAGATTATCAACTCTGTATCGAGGCTTCCCCTGCTGTTTGTGAAGATTTCCTTCACTTTTTTATTGATAAGGTCACTTGCACTAGGGCTTTAATCTCACCTTCTGCTCATGACCCTTCAGTCTCTGTCCCCTGCTCAACTGTCTTTGGCAGGTTTGAGGATGTGACTCTGTCCATTTTACAGGAGATTGTTGGTCTTTTGAAGCCCTCTGGTTCTCCCAATGATGCTGTCCCCTCTCGACTATTGAAGAGATTTTTCCCGGGGACTTACGGTTATGGCGCGCCGCTGACTAGTTGCAGTGAACTTGGCTCCTCACTAACTTTATGAAAAATACTTGCAATATCGACTAACAGCTCGAATATATTTATCCAAAGTCACCCAGTGCTTCCCAAAGCACTGGGTGACACTCTCACCCCCACCCCCGTTATTGAGAGAGCACACCGGATTGGCCAGGTGAACCCGAACCGCTCCTCAACGTCCAGAACAATCATCATGAAACTTCTGAACTATAAAGACTGGGAGAAGATACTGAGAGCAGCCAGGAGACTGAAGGAAGTGTGGTATGAAAATCATCGGATCAGCTTCTACCCAGATTTATCGGCCGAGACCCGTCAACGTCAGCGACAGTTTGACGGAGTTAAGGCCCAGTTCCGAGCTCTGAATATCCGCTATGGGATGCTCTACCCAGCTCACCTGGTGATCACGCATGACGACCAGCGTCTGATCTTCAAGTCGGTGCCTGAGGCAAAGGACCATCTCCGGAAGATGCAGCCTGTCCCGGGAGGATCCCCACGATCCGAGAGCTAAAGGGAACCATCTTTTCTACAGGGGACCCGTGTTACCTTTTTTTTTTTTTTTTCCTCTTTGCATCCCTCACCTCACCTCAGGTATGGAAGCTATATTCTGACAAAACTATGGTGATGATAGGAGGATCTTAGTCTAAAACAGGCTGTGAGTAACCATATTACCTCTCCCTCTCGTTATCTCTTTCTTTCTCTTTTTTATTTATTCAGTTTTTATTTATTTATTTAATTTTATTCCCACGTATTGCATGATATCTCTGGATACATGTTGAGTTGTGTGGTGGACAATGCAAGGACTCCAGTCTAGAAATTTCTGCGCCTTTTATTATCATCTTATTATTTTTTTTATTACTTTTATTTATTATTTTTAATTTAATTAATTTTAATTTAATTTTATTTTCATTTTTATTTATTCTCACTAAAAAGAAAATTAAGCTAAGCTAAGTTTATTATTATTATTTTGTTATTATAGATTATTTTATTTATTTATTATTCTATTTTATTATTATTATTATTATTATTATTATTATTAT